TGTCATCCTTAACAGAGTCCTGTTTCGTTAGAAAGTATCCTTCGATAACACGATCAAGTTCTTGAATATTTGTGAATAAAATATTGTTTGGCAAACTTGCACATTTTTTAGCAGTAATCCTCGAGAAAGCGGCAGGAACTGATGTTACATGAATAGCCACAGTATTATCTAGCGGCAACTCGTCAACGATTTCAAGAAATTGTTCAATATCACAAACTTTAAGCATTCCTTTAACTTTGTTGTTGCAGTATACTAAAACATAATGTTTTTTGTGAATTCCAAACAAAATGTTTCCTGATCTATAAAGAAAAAAAAATTTATAAGTAATTATCATTAATTGCATCCTATTCACCACAACCTCCGCGCGAAGCAAGGACAAGCTTTTCGGAACAGACATAACAGAGAAGGACGTTCACAGACATTGCATGTCTGTGGCCACGATGTGCTTCCAGTTCTCCGATGTTGCCCTAGTGGCAGCGTAACTTCAGATACATAACGACAAGAAATTAACTTAGTGATTTCTCACCTAAATTCAAGAATAATTTCCCTAAGTTTCAGTCCCGTGTAAACTTTGTCAGTGAAATCAGCTAAATCAGTTAAAGCATTTTTAAGCAACATTATAACTAACACTAAAAACGTTATAAAAAACAAATCTCACATATTTATCTGACCTTTAATTTTCTCACAATTTCAGGGGTGAAAAATTGGATTTCGTGAATTAAATTGGCATTAATATATAAAAGGGTCTAAAAAACATAAACTTCGGTAAATAAGATTGAAGCAAGAAATGAGTTCTTATTAAATGCATAACAATAGGTCCAGTTCGAACTTTCGGTCTTTATAAAAGAAAAAAAAAAGACTTACTAGTTTTTCTAATGTAATGGTAATCTGTCGTTATTCGTTATCGTTATAATTTTGATTTAGATACTGATAATCCGCTAAAAAAAATTCAGATATCACTATGCCGATCTTAACTATTTGGCACTGGGGCGTGACTAATCATAGTATATTACAAATAAACATTTACTTATAACCGTCACAGTCATAACGATAATGAATTATTATTTGTCATAACCTATGATTGGTCACGCCCAGTTCCAAGTCTTCCAAGTCTCTAAGTGATTAACGAATAAAATTTTACTTACAGGTTTTCCTACATCACTCAAATTTGGCCCCGATCGGCGTTTTGTTAATTTCAGTAAAATACAATACCGATACAGTATCAGATATTACATTTAACTGAAATTACCAAATCGGTAATTATTTTTTATCCGGCACCTTACTATGATCGTACCAACAGAATAACTCGAGTTATTTGATGATGACGCAATCATAACCAAAAGAACTCGAGTCATTCTGTTGGTACGATCATAGTAAGACACCGGAT